CTTCCCATTGCCTGATATCCCTTCAGATTTGCCATCTTTGCTAGATATTTTACTCAGCTTGATAGGAGTACCAATTATTTCAAAATTTAAACACCTTCGCACGAATAATTGCATAACGATCACCATTACCACAACTTAGCTAAGTATAATTCTGGTTGCCATAATGTCATGCGTGTATCAGACACGTCAGCTAACGAGCGAGAAGACTGGTACCTGGCCGGGGAAAAGGAATGCGGTGGTGGGTTTGTAGTCGGCGAAGAGCGTGTCGGCGCCCGCTGCGACTGCCGACCCGACGGACACTCTAGTGGAGACCCGAGATCTGAATGGCGCCCTCAGGTTCGTCGCCGGGCTCGGCGCGGACGGCCTGAGCAAGGCGAGCGTGGAAGCCATCGGAGAGTCCGAGCGGAGGCGGCGAGGAGAGAGGCGTGGGAGGCGAGGAGGGCGGAGGAGCATGCGAGTGCGGCCGCGAGCTATGTAGCTTGGTGGGTGGCTTGCTGGCGAGTAGCGGGGCGGAGGGGGGCGGAGGCGGAGCTCACGAGGTCGAGCGATACGCCAGAGGCCGCCCGTGTGGTCCTCGAGCTTGCGTTAGCTGGGCTTGGCTGACTACTGTGGGCTCGTTTCAGCTTTCTCCCGCCGTAGATCAGCCTTCTCAAAAAGAGGCAGGTTCAACTGATCTCGATCATCAAACTAAGTCAATCCAACGACTTAGTCTGCTCGAATAGCGAGTGTTCAACGTGTTTAACGTGTAATTGATATCATACCAAATATTACATTAATAACAAAATTAACACACAAATAATAACATACCTAATATCTACGTGCAATTAATATATTGCCTAAATATTAACATACATTGCACGTGCACATTTACTAGTAAAGGTGAAAATTTAGCCATCTTTGCACGGGCTCATCTATTCATTCATTACTACTGTCAAATTTAGCCATCTTTGTCGGTTCATGATGGACATAATTTGTTTCTCTATGACAACTCACGATTGAAGCTTGCATGATATCACACGCTAAATGATAGCAGTCGTCGAAGACAATATCAGCTGCCCCATATGACCGTCCTTCTTTGTTCATCATCGAAATCATCTCAGCAATCCCCTAAAAAAGGGAAATCACCTCAGCTACATCAGAAGTTTATAATCAATATGTTGCACCCAACTGATTGGGCAAGGAACATGTCGAAGAGGCAGGCACTGAATTTAGTCGATACGACATCGGGGCACCATGAATTTTCTTATCATTGGCGACAATCATGTCTCCCTTATCATGTCTGAGAATATTCAACTAAAAAACATTACATATGAGAATATAACCAACCGACGCATGTGAGATCGTTATCGAAGGCAACATCCACAATTAACTTTACAATACCTAATGTTGGCTTGATCCAGCCACATCTTTTTGCCTTGGCCTTCGGGGATGACTCGGTTGTGAAATTCGCCATTAGAGCTCACAGAGAAGAAACTGTCCTACTGGACGCGACACGCCAGCTGCGGCGACGGAGCGGGCATCTACTGGATTCATACCCGGAGTGGCAGTGAAGGTGCCCGATTGATGGATCCGCGCCCGGGTGGCTCCAAAGGGGGAGATCGGGTCTCAACCCAGGACCGAAGAAGCACGACCCGTGCGGCTATCTCCTCCTCGTCTGACAGGCGGCGAGCTCCTAATCAATGTTGTCGTCGGATCTAGACCGTTCAGACTTATATATGCTGCTCACCATGCCAAAGGTGGCTAGAGATGACTGGGGCAGAATGAAGTGGACTAGTTGAAATGGCTAGGGTTTCATCTGGGGTGGGGATAGAGATGGGTTTTGTGGGGTCAAGGGTGGGCCGACCCGATGTGGAGGACGCATCCGGATGGCCTCAAATCCGCCTCACATATGGGCTGAAAATGATGCTGCCGAACAGGCCAGACATATGAGCTAGGTTTGGGTCCGTTTTGATGACAATTTCTTGTCCAAATTGCATACGGGCTGTCCGCCCAGATCTATGGAAAAGGTAGGGGGTCCGGCTGAAGATGCTCTAACATTGGTCTGCACTCATGACTATAACTTATTTTATGGTTGTTGTATCTAGTTAGTGTGAGAATATTTATTCAATTCAGTAAAACTCTATGGTCACATCTAATAAGGAACTCATCCAACTATCTGCAACAATCGAAACAAATCAGTGATGTTACACCGATTTCATTAAAATTTTAGATTGTTTTCAGGTCAAAACTTTTCAAGTTTGACCTACTATGTTCAGGAAATGTTATGCTATACAACAACAAATACATATATATTATGTGCAAATATAAAGATTCTAATAAAACTAATTTAATGTTTGGAGATGGTTATATATTCTTCTTTGAAGTTGGTCAAATTTAAATACATATGCTCTAAAACACCCAGTAACCGAAGGTGAAGAAAAAAACTAAAAAAAGAAACAAAAAATAAAAATGAAAAAAGGAAACAACAACGCGTTCTATGCTGCTACACCTTTCTTATTACTAGAGGTATATAGGCTGTGTTTTAACGTGCCAGACTGAGAAATGGAAGCGTGTGCGTCAAGGACGTATTTGGTTACATTGCCGATTCAGTCTGGTCCGGCGAGCCTGGCTCTATTGAGCCGGTTTGAGGAGATGCAGGCCAAAAAACCCCGGATGCATATAGTTTGGTTGCCTGCATGCCTCTAGTTACATGAGACAACCATTTTTGATTCAGTGTTTGGTTGCCCGCATTGCATTAGGTGCACATATGACATGGTTTGGTTGCAACCTGTATAAGGTGTTGTCACCACTTCTAACTAGTGGTGACCTTACCACACACAATCTGAACATAGTGCCAGCTAGTTAAACAAATGACAGTTCATCCTAACTACAATCAAATGACAAATCAAATTATTAAGAGCCATTGGCTAAATAGAGGATAGTTCATCGGTGTTGCTGCTTCATCTTCCTCTTCTGCTTCTTCTTCTGCTGCCGCTGCTTCTTCTTCCTCTTCTTCTGTGCTTCTGCTGTTGCTGTTTCTTCTTCCTCTTCTTCAAATCCTGCACTGACCTCTCTTAAGCCACATTGCCTCTGCCCACTCCAACCTTTTGTTTTTCCAAGCGTCATTGTCAAATGCCTCCACAGCATGGCCAGAGCTAACAACATCGTCAGGCCCGACCTCTTTCTCCTCAGGCGCATGTTCATCAAAGCCCCACTGGAGAATCCAGTTATGCAGAATGCAATAAGCAAGAACTAGCTTAACTTGAGTGGAGTATGGGTGGAATGACTTCTGATCCAGGATCTTAAACCTATTTTTCAGAGCTCCAAATGCCCTCTCAACAGTTACTCTAAGGCTGGAGTGTCTGAGATTAAACAGCTCATGTGCAATCCTAGGAAAGTTCCTACCAGAGAACTCGTTGAGATGGTACCTTGTTTTCTTGAAGGGTGGAAGAATACCCGGCCGACATGCATAGCCAACATCTCCAAGGTAGAACTTGCCGTCGGGGATGTTGATCCCATCAGGTCAACTCATGCTGTTAGTGAGAATGTTTGCATCATGTGCTAATCCCTCCCAGCCAGCCAGCACATATGTGAACTTCAGATCAAAGTCAACAACAGCAAGCACATTCTGGCCTGTGTAGTCCTTCCTCCCCCTGTATGCTGCAGACTGTGACCTAGGAACTCTAGCAGTGACATGAATACCATCTATTGCCCCAATGCAGTCCTGAAAATGGCATCATTAGCCTATGTTAGTGCTGAACTTGAACAATACAAGCATATCAAGCTATGAAAAGTGTATATTATCAATGCTCACCTTGAAGTATGGATACCATCTTGGGCTTCCGCAAATCTTGGGTGGAGTCTGGCCAGATGGTCTCCTGATCATCTCTCTCTAAGCTCCCCAGCAGCAAAAAGCACCTGCTTGAAGTACCTAGAGATGGTCTCCATTGATCTCCTGAACGTGTTGTGAATGACCCTGAACCTCTGGTTATGGCCAACAACATGGAGGAACATGGCCACTTGCTCTTCGACACTGGTGTTGATGCTATCTTGTAACAGGCCCCTGCTCCTGAAGGTCTCAACAAGCCTGGAAAATGGTGCTCTTTTCATTCTAAGCATCCACAGAGCCTCGACGTTATTGCAGTTGTAGATGTAGTTCAGATTTTGGATCCTCCCCTGTTCCCGGGGAAATAATGGACCATAGCGGATCAACGGTCTCCCAGCACGACGAACAACTCTCTAGTGCATGAACATGACCCATGCCTGAATCACACTAATCAGTGATGCTGCCTGGATTATCAGCCTCATCAGTGCGTCCATAACCTAGTCGACATCGACGGTTCGTTCAATGGGAATTCGATCCTACACCTAGCTTAAAGGCCTAACCACTGAGCTAACAAAGGGGGAGGGGGTGCTGCTTACCGGCATCGGAGACGAGGACGGCGTAGGGGGAGCCATGGCACAGAGTAGGTCGACCAGACGATGGCCAACAGCAAGGGGAGCATCAGATCCGCCGCAAGCGCCGCCGCCTCTTCCGCCACCGCCGCCGCCTGTAGCGCAGATTTGAAATCGCAGCCATCGCCGGTGGTGAGACAGTAGCGAAGAAAGGGGGCAGTGGCTATGGATGAGCGAGTGAAAGGGGGGTGAGGCTAATTTGACGCCGGGACGGCGCGCCAGATTTCCATCTCCCGCCATCCCCCTAGCTCGCGCCTCGCTCCCGCCCGTGCGACCTCGCGCCGCACTCAGCCTGGCTCGCGAGAAACTGCCGATCCGAGGGTTTCCAACGAGACAGGCTCTGGGCTGCTTTGAGAAGCGTGCGATGTAGGCCCAACAGGACAATCAGGCAACCAAATAGGCCTCTCCTTTCATGCGCGGGCCTGGTTGAACTCGGTGCGGGCAACCAAACACGCTCCAAGTGTTTGCTTGCATCCACTGTTTCAACTTAGTCGAATAATATAAGCATGCACGAGGGCGACTTGACGGACACGGACACGGCTGCTTGCGCGCATCGATATCGCCCACAGGCCAACTGTTCGCGAACTCTGCACAAGCACCATGCTGAACCAACCAACCAGCCGTAGGCGGCGACCGTCGTCGACCGACCGCGACGGCCCCATGTGATCGATCTACTAGCTGCGTACATCCCCGTACTATCAGGATCATACATGCCCACGTCACTCGCGTGTACGAGCGAGCACCACACAACTAGCTAGGCGGCAGACGCCGCGTTCCTGTACGTGCGCGTACGAGGGCCCTGGAAGGATCACCGGAGATACACTTTGCGTGCTCTCACCAAATAGACCGGCCGCGCACATGCCGCGCACGGAGATAAAGACAGCCACTACGAACTGACGCTTTGGCCTTTTTTTTTCTTGACAAACGCCTTCGGAGTTTAAAAAATAAATCAACAGTGCTGCTATTTGAAGACGTGTTTCTCAAAAAAAAAAAAAAAGCTTTTTGAAAGACGTCAACTT